AAGGCTATGCCATGACTTCACAACTGATACTATCCTGTGCATTAGGGTTTTTCAAACTCCTTTATTTCTCAACATGTGTACTAAGCCAGCATGTTTCAGCTACAATCATTATTGATTTCTCTGTGTGTTCGGTGCCGTGGAGTTGGCGCGACCCCATGAAGGAGTGATGTCCCGGACGCCAGGTCCTGGACAGCCCTGCTCGGCTCCTGTAGACTTGTGCCCACGGGCTCCTTGATGGAGCCAATCTATCTCATGTTTGGTCTTCTCTCTTCCCACTGCCTACTCTTTCCCCAGCATTCCTGTCCTCTTGTCTTTTCATTTTAACAATAATTTTGAGTTTAACCAAGCAACACGAAACCTCTTAATCAACGGGATGAACATCAATTATCAGCAAGTATGCAGAAAAATACTGATGTTGAATTTCAATCCAAATGTGTTATTGATCAAATATGCATATTCTACCCTTGTAAACTCCTCTTCCCTTAATGTGAAAATCTGTAGAGAATAATGTCACCATGAAATATTTTTCTTGCACCATGTGGCATCTAACGACACAAACGTTCTAATAATTCCTACTCGAGGGATATCTCAGCAGAGTAGACTCCTCCCCGCAAAAATATAAGAACAAACATCCAGGTATAATCATGTCAGATTTTAACTACTGCAAAAGATGCTTAATTAAAATTGGAATTATCTGACCTTCTATTTCACCGAATCCTAAGGAAGCTGACGACTTCGTGTTAGCAGAAAAGAATTTTCAGTGGAGACTTTTGAAGGCACACTCCAGTGTGAAGCAGAAGGCGGTCGAGGGCTCTCACTTTACTAAAGAACTTATCTGGGGGAGGGCAGCGCAACTTTTATGCATCTCTGTGGAGTCCAGATTCTGGACAAAGAAGTGTTTCATTACGGTAATTATCCAGATAGTTCAGACAAACCTTTTATGAGACAGAGGAAGTGTAAGGCTGGCACAGTTTCCTGGTTGGATTATTGAGATTATCTGTCTTTGTTGATAAAATTATTGGAAGAAATTGCTCAAGCTTACCCTTTACTTCTTTTAGAAAACAGCCTTTGAGTAAGCCTCTCATCTGCTCAGATCAAGCTGGTTATGAAATTTCCAATGCAACATCATTAATCAACCAATCTGGAAATCAGTAATTTAAGGGGAAAAAAATTCCATGATTTGATTGAGATAACTGCCCCTCACCCACCCACTCAAACCACTAAGCTGTCCCCTTCACTGTATTCAAGAGTTCATTTCTGCCAATTAGCAACTTTTCCTTCGGAAGTGTTTCTGCCTCCTATCAGGGTGAGAAAACCTTTGATGTTTATTTTGAAGAATTCACTGGACATTGGGTTCATATTTAAATTAACTAAGATTGTATTGTCAAAATCTTACACTGGATGTCAAAATTTACTATCATAATAGACTTCTCAGATCATCGCCATTTCATTAAAAAACTCTCCATCCTATCAAAAAGGTCATACATTTTTCACCAGCAAAATAAACACAGCACATTTTCTGATGCATGCCTCATTACCCATTTCTACTTATTTAAAAAGTCAGAATTCACCAAATTAGCAAATCATAGTGAGAAATAATCTCAAGGAAAAAAAACACATTTTTTTTCCTGTTTCTCAAAATTTCACATAGTCTAAATGTCCCCCGAAGCTTCCAAAGACACTAGGCAACAAGGTTTGGGAAATTCCTCATGTACATATCCTTTCCCATGCACATAGGCACTCAATTAGAATCCCATAATAACATATCACACACAATCCACCTTCCTATCATGAAATCAGTAACGTTTTATCATTTCTTTTGTGAATCCTGAACCTAAAGCATTTCTTATATTGCCAATTGCACATGCAAGACGATTCCTGACATGATACCAGAGATTAAGGGGAAGCGGGCCTATTTGCATTTTGAACAAATAAATAGCAAGCCTGGCAGCTAGATGATGTTTTAAAATTGCAACTGCCACTTGTGGAGGACCGATGCGAGGGAATGGATAAAGTGGGAACAAAGATGCACGTTATATATGCGAGCCTTTTTTTCCCACAAGGTGGTGATTACACTAAATAGAATTCTGCATAATGGATACATAAAAATGTCAAATACATAAAAATATAAGTGCCAGTGCAGAGAACCCTTATTAAAAATCAGCAAAAGAACACATCCATTGATGACATTTTAATTATAAAAGAACTTCAAAAGCACCCAAGGAAAGTGTTGGAGGGAAAGTTTGATGTTTACGACTAAAGAATAAATAACACATATTTTCTTATTTTTCATGAAACAATGACAGTCACCCAAGCAACAAAACCAACAATCACCATTCACCGCCCAACCTAATTCTAGGCAACTCAAGAAGTAGCCTGTGTAACATGAAATTTACAAGATCAAGTGATAAGAATCCAGATACAGTGCTTACGCTGAATTTTCAACATCTTCCCTCATACATTAAGCCCCAGTCCTTACCACCATCTAATTTACCATTCTATAAACACAGGCAAGTTTCGCTGTTTGGACATTTCAACCTGAGTATTCCCCTTTTGCTTCCTCGCCACACACAGCCCATTTCATTTTGAAAATGCTCAGAAGTTCTTGCAAGAAACTCCTCAGAGAACTGACTGCCCGCATCTTGCATCAAATAGAAAAGCACAGTTACCTCTCACGTACTTGAGATTTTCTTTCCCCATCAAAGTAATAACTGGAACATCTGGCACATGTCTGGTACAATGACAGGCTCATTCTACTTTATGCGAATATTTAACATATGACTTGAAAGAGCTTATTGCTCATACCTATTCTTTCTGGGCAGACAGAAAGCACGCTAAAAAGATAAGCTTTATGAACAGTAACACTTTCAAACTGACTTTGGTATTCTTGGCAGTTACACACACCACCCACGACTGTCCAAAATACACACACACAAAAGGCAACCCCCCCCCCCACTCCCCAGACCTGGGAGATAGACATAAACTGAACGGAAGCAAAGGGAAAGTCAATCTCCCTCCACCTGCTGCCTGAAGTGGGGGTACTTGCAGCCGCCTGGCAGACAGGAGCCTGAGGCACAGCCTTAGCAGCAGCCTGCCAACATCCTTAAGAAAAATAAACAAACACATAACAACTTGTCCCCTGCCCTCCACCAAAGAACTCACATGGCAGGGCTCAAAACATAACAACAGCCCACTCCCATTAGCCGGGACAATCCTATTAACCAGGGCAACCATAAATTCATAAATCTCTACAACCCCAGGGCACGTATTGTGGTCTGGAACGATACAGACACACACAGACACAGAGGAAATTTGCACCTGTCTTTCTTGACACAACACACCTGTCAGGCCCTGCACATGCGTATTCTGCTAACAGACCTCTGCCTACCTAGTTTAGGAAAGGAAATGCTTTTTTTTTTTTTTGTAAGGGAGGGTATAGGTGGGAGGAGAGAGAGAGAGAGAGAGCAAGAGAGAGCAAGAGAGAGCAGAGAGAGAGCACAAGAGAAGAACTTCTAGCCTTGACTTTGAGAGGAGGCCATCCTGTACTTGCTCTGTTTTTATAAGCTCAAGGAGACAACACAGACCTTCTTGGAAAAATTAAACCAAGCAGGTGAGTTTCCAGCCTTCCCCCAGGCGGAGTAGGGTTCTGGATTGCCAAGAACAGCAGCAGTTTCACACTCCGACCTGCCTCCTTGGGCTATTTAAGGCTATCGCCCAACCCCTCCTCCTGGTTCTTTTCTCGGCCGGCCAGGAGGACTCAACTTCCAAAGGGCTGAGAGGGGCCGGAGACCTGGAGTGTCTCGAAAGCTACTCTCCGTCTACCTCCCCGCTCGCCCCCATCCCAAATCCGCACTCTCCAGCTGCGTTCAGTTGCAGCAGGAGGAGTAACTGGCTGCCTCCCGAGAGGAACCAACCAACCACTCGCACTACTGGACTTTGGGTGATGTCTCTTCTCCAACCCCCCCACCCCCCCACCCCGCGCCCCCCTCCTGGTCTGTTCCGGCAAGATAGCAGCTCCTCCCGCCCTTCTCACCGTTCCATCCAGTAACAATTACTCTCACCTCTCCTTTGCCCCCTCCCCAGGCCTCCAAACTGGGGCACAACTGTAGGTACCACCCAGCCAAGACAAGATCGCAGCAGTCCAACACTACAGCCTGCCAGCGATGACGGAGAGAGTCTCGGCCTTGCAAGTCCGCTGCCCGAGAACACCCCCCACCCGGACCTCGATCTCTCCGTCCTCCCGCGAAGCCGGGGCACCGATTCTTCTGCCCCCGCCCCCGCCCCCCTGAGGCTCCGGGAGCGCCTTACCCGGCTCAACTTGACCTGCTCCAGGTTCCCCAGAGCTCAGGAGAGGGGCGCCGCGCTCGTTGCCCGGGACCATCTCTGCACCGCTCCAACCCCGATTTCAGCATTTCGGCTCGACAGCGTTTAGAGAGGAAAGTAACAGAGCCCCCCCCCCCCCTTCCCTCTCCCCGCCTCTCTCCTCCCTGGCTCTCCGCTGGGGTTAAAAGAAGTGAAAGGTATGCAAATGGCAAGCAAATTGGAAGAGCCTGGAAGAAAGGCAGCTATAATAAACTAGACAAAGAGAAAGGACGTAGGGACTAGCCCAGGAGTTTTAGCCGGGAGAGATGGGAAGGATGAGGCTTGGTGGAAAAGCGGGGACCCAGACGAACAAAAAGCGACCCTAGACCCGTCGCGGTCCCTTCTCCAGAGTAGAGAGGAGGCTGGAGACTGAGGACGGGAAGCAAGCGCCTCCGCACACCCCAGACACGGCACACAAAAGGTGACAAGATCAGCGACACGTCCCGCAGTATCAGCCGCCCCCCCCCCCGCGCCAACACCACCCCCAGGCACCGGCAGGAAAGAGAAAGAAATAAAAGCCGAGCGGATCACTTACTCTTAGGAACTGGGAGGAGCGCAGCGCGGAGTTCCACTGAGGCTCCCGCTCAGAAACTGTTCAGAGGCTATTTTATTACGATTCATTTAAATCACACCATTTCCTCCTGAAAAAAGAAATGTTGACACGGGTGTTAGTCCTGGGAGTCTCTTTTCTTCCCATTCAAGAACAAGCCAGTACAAGTGATTCTGGAAAAGGGGAGGGGACTGGCCAGGGGACAGAAGATACTTACGCGGCGCTGGGAGCAGGGGGACCGAGCCTTTTTTTTTTCCTCCCCCGCCGGCCGAGAGGAAAACACGCGCTCGCTCACGCCCGCCGCTACCTTGCGGGTGATGACTATGATAATTGGCCGAGGGACGGTGAGTCTGGACAGCAGCGAGCAGGCGAGCGGTCGGGGCGAGCGCGGGGAGCGCGGAGGGGGAGCGCGGAGGCGAGCGGCGCGGAGGAGCCGAGCGGGGCGCGGGGCGCGGGGCGGGCGCGGCGGACCCGGCCGAGCTCTGCTGCGCCGCCCGCTCTCGCGGCTGCGAGGGTGTACGGTTTCCGAGCGCTCCCTCGGCTGAGGGCTGCGCTCCACGACAAGATTTACTTTAAGACACAGCTGAAGGAAACAGGAAGACTGCACGTCACAGTCTCACTGACGTCCCCGGCCCGGCGCCCAATCGCGAGGCGCCTTCGGATTCAAGGGGGGATAGCGAGGCAAGAGAACTTGGGAGGAAAAAAAAGATATAAAAGGGGTGGGGGTGAGGGGCTGGGAAAAGAGGAGGGGAGAGGGGGCCTGCGCTCCTCCTCCCCCGCCTCCGCCTCCGGCCCCCACCCCCGTCCCCGCCCTGCCCCTGCTTCGGGGCCGCGGAGTCGCCGCGCACGGGGCCGGGCCCGAGCGAGCCCTCCGCGGCACCACGCAGAGCGGCAGACGGCGCGAGCGGCGCTGGGCTGGCGCTCGCTCTTCCCGGACGCAGGTCCTCTTTTCTCTCCCCTCCCCTTCATTTCCCAGATACAGCTGATGGGGTTTGCCCAGTGGCCAAGCGAGTGAGGGCTCCTCGGACTTGGGTGAAGGAAGGCACGGGAAAGTGTCCTGGAGAAAGTGGTATTTTTTTTTAGAGGTGGGATGGTGTAGGAGGAGGGAGTGGGGACCCTTAAATCATGCCACTTTTAAGATGATCGTAAGTCGTATCAAAAACACATGTCACTCTCGCAGAATTTTATAGGGGAGATGGGCACTGAAATACAGGTAAGGTTTGGGATTAAATGATAGATGCCTGAGGCTTCCCACAACGGCTCCGGGGCATCTGGGATTCGCAGACCAGCCCTGACTTAATCCCAGTCAACCTCCCGTCAAAATTATTGAGAAGAAGAATCTTGTTTGTATGGTTCGTACAGCAGCCTTCAAGAAAATGTTAACAAACATTACCTCGCAGTTGCCCCTCACTCATTCCACCCCAGAATAACCAAAAATATAGGTTTCAAGCGGGATTTACACAGTTACGATGCCTGAGTGACAAACTTTAAAATTTACTGGGTGAGAAATTTCAAACGCTTAATTTCAGACTTCGATATAAAGCCATAGAAAGATTCACTTTGGTTTGACACATCTTGGGGGGAAATACCCTGCAAGATTTCTTTAGGGTATGTGGGTCTAAGAGTTCCTTGGGGGTTGCAAGTTACAAATGCTAAGGAGGGAGCCTCCAGCCCTGCCGGCTCGTACGCAGCTACAACGTTTCTTTCTTTGCAGCACAGCAACCGGCTTTTACTAAAGCAACCCAGTTTTTGACTTCAAGGTCCTACCAAAGCCAGGACTTGCAGGGGCTGCAAAGCAGAAACACAGCTGGATTAGACACACTCATTCTCTTAAGTAAGGTGAGGAAAAGTATGTTTCATGTGTCCCTCAAATTTAATCAGATCAAAAGTGGAATGGTGTTGCGATTACAAGACAACACGGTGTTTCTGAGGTGTGTTACAAGCCCACGGGCCGAAAACAACCACCGGTTTCTGCGAGCACACCCAAGCCCACACCCACACCCCCCACTTTCCTCGGACAGTTAGCATTTCAGCCTGCAATTCATCAGACTGCGAGGAAGTCTTCTCTTGGAATAATGGCGATGATAACGTCCAACTCTATACCCTGCAGGAAACTTTTGGCAAGGGGTTCACACATGGAAAAGAAAGAAAAAAAGTCAGGCCGGCCAGGTTAGGTGTCCAGCATAAGAAAGGAGACTTGCTTGAGCTTCCCCAGCGTTCACGTCTTCCCTTTCGCAGCCTTCTGACACTCCCCGCGCCCCATCCCTGACACAACACACAGGCGCGCAAACACGACGTTCACACTTCCAGGGGATCCGCTTGCGGGCTACGTATCAAGTGTGCCTAATCGAGACGTGGCAATGTAGGCTGGGAGCAGAAGTAATCTATCAGCGTGCCCATAACATGCAGCATGGAATACTGTTTCTGTTGGTTGGGTCCTTTCGAGGTAAGCGGGTGTCTAGAGCAGAGAAATTTGGATCAAGGATATAGCCTTTCTTCTTTTTCGTCCTGTTCTTCTCTTGAAGCATCCCAGTGTGTACGTGTTAGAGGCAGCCCACACATAAACTGGTAGGCATAAAGGATGTGTGCCCTCTACACCTTTACACCATCTCTGCTCAGTTAGACATTCACAAGGGAGGGATGCAGGTAAGGAGGAGGGAGAACAGAAGGAAGAAAGGAAGCAGAGAGAGAAAAGATTCAAACTCTGGAAGGAATGGCTTGAACTGTATGTAGCCCACAAGTTTACATCAATTGCACCTAGCGCTCACACGCACCTTTTGCACACACCACGCTCGGGAACGGGCGGCGGGAAAAGCCCTTTATCCCTCCCTGAGTCCAGGTCGGGGTAGCCCGCTTGGCAAACAAGGAAGCGCCCCCAAACCCAGCCTTGGCGGCTGAGGCTCGCGGCTCGCCACGGCTGGTCGCGGCAGTTCGCAGCCCGCTTTAGGGCGCAGGAGCTGGTGGTTGAAATAGGAGCGCGCGCAACGCCGGGCGAGCGAGCTCGGTCCTCAGCCCAGTCCTGTGAGTGGCGTCTGCGGGGCCCTGTCCTGTCCCCTGCTGTCGGGACGCCGTACGAGCCAGGCTCTTGGCCAACCCCTCTTGCCAGAGCCGAGGCGCTCTCCCAGGTCACGAGCCGCCCTGGAGCAAGAATCTCGAGCGTCTCCCGGTTTTGTTTTCTGGTAGGGGAGAAGCGGTCAGTCAGCTCGGAGACCACAACTCGCCCAAATACTGGCTCCGTCTCGGAAACCAGCGGCCAGACCTAGGGGTCAATCCCTTCCTCTGCCCAACGGCCAACATAACCCCAATAACTTAGAAGTTAACCCAAATTCTGACTGGTCTTCCAACAAACCCCAGCCCTGCAGGCTGCGTTTACTTATTTATCTGAAGGCTGATCTTAGTCAAACTTGCAGTAATCACTTGTGCATCTGGTTCTGGGTTAAACACAGTTCACCGGGATATTTCCTGAGAGTGTTGTTCACCACCCCTCTGTTCTTTCGCAAAGCCGTTAGGTGGAGATCGGAGAGAGGACTGCTATAAGTAATTTCAACCTTGCGAATAACTGTCACCAGATCCCTGAACAAACCAATTCTGGGAATTTCAACCAGATCCAGTTGAGAGACAGACGTGGGCATGGATTTTAGGAGGATCAGGGAGATCCTGCCCGGACACACGCGCGCACACACCCACCCCTTCGGCCAAACACCAGCAGCAGCACCACCACCACCCTGAAAAGGGGAAGAGAAAGAAAGAAAAACCAACTCCAGGGTGCAGGCCGGCCTGCTTCAGGCCATCTAGAGGCAGACTGACTGACCTCCATATTCCTCCCCCGGCCCGACACACTTCTGCCCCTGTGCCCGGTGTGACGCCAAGCCCAACCTGAATTTGTTCTGAAGGTCTGAATGGGGGGAAGGGGGGCGGGTGAAATGCCACAAGATCAGTAGCAATAACAGCTGGGCATTTCTCTTCTGGGAACCCCACTGCTTAGAAGCCTCCGGAGTGATGTTTGTTTAACCAACAGCTTTCAAAGTAAACAGGCAAGTCACTCCAAAGGGGTTGAAATATAACCTTTACAAGAATTTTGGGTCAGGGTGCTGGCGGAAAAAATAATTTTTAAAAATAATACAGCCCCCACCCCAATACAGAGTCCACCACAAGAAGCCTAAAAGAACCTAGAACTGTCATAAAAATATCAATTCATCGAAAGGATTCTTTACGGTCAAGGGACCTCGAGGCAGGTCACTCAGGGGATCTGAGGGCCCCGCCCTGGGGGAGAGGGGGTCGGTGTCGGAGACTGCAGGGGCAAACTAGGACTTGATTTTATGGAAGCGGCAAAAACAATCAAAGGGAGGTACATTCCTTGCCCTGGAGTAGAAAAGAGAAGGCTGGGAGCTCCGCGCCGCCAACCCTGGCTTTGCCTCAGGCACCGAACTTTCCAATATCAAGATATTAACAGATGGCGGTGAGCACATGGAGGGCTGTTACTTACATAATCCAGCCGCTCCGCCCGGCCGCGCCGAGCCCGGCGAGGCGCCCGCCAGGTCGCGCGCGCGCCTTGAGAGGGGTGCTGTTGCCCCCCGAAATAACGTGCCTTTCTCCAACCCTATTCGGCTCTTTGAGGGATAAGATTTGGAAAGGCCCTGATCTCAGGGAGAAAAAAAAAAAGCACATCAATCTGCTGTGCTGTATCTTCAGTCCACCGTAATAAAAACGCTGGAGACCGAAGGGCCAAGGGAAGCGGAGGGTACGCTTTCGGGGAGAACGGGACATTCTCTCTCGGTAACTGGGGGTGCCAGGTAGCGAAATTTACGCAATTTACACCCCTCCCTCTTTGGCTCAAATTAGCATGTTGTTCCCTGTCACAGAAATACAAAGGCAGGCTCGGGCCGCAACCTAGAGTGGGGTGGGTGAGGGTGTGAGTGCGTGGGGACGCCTTTGCACGCGGGGGCGCAGTGGGCAAAGTTACGCACAGGCTGGGGCACCGCTACACTTCCGAGCTTCTGCAGGTTTTTAACCACTGGTGCTCGCACGCGGGGAATCCCTTTCGACTGTGAAGTCGCCTGCTGCCATCACGCCCTCAGCCACCTCCCCAGAGGCCCAGTCCCTCCCGGTGTGCCTGTGTACCTCCGCACGTGTGCTGGGGGACGTGTTTGTTGGCCGAGCCTCCTCCCTGATGGCGACTCGGAGCCGCCGAAACCCGTGAGGAATACGCCTGCGTGCGTTGGAAAAGTTTCGGGGTAGGAGGAAAGGTTGGGAGTCTCCTCTCCTGGCCCTCGGCGGAGCGGGGCTCCCTGGCCAGCGGCTTCCTGCGGGTCTCCTCCTCCCTCCCAGCCCTTCCTTCCACGCCGCGGCCCCGCGCTAGGTGTCGCGGCCCCGCGCTAGGTGTCGCGGCCTCTGGACGCTGAGAGGGCAAACGCGCCGGGCTACGGCTGTGGCGCCCAGCTCCTGGCGGAGGACACGCCCACCCTGCTCCTGCAGACCTGGGGGTCTCTGTTGCCTGGTCCGCGCCCCACGTTCCCTGCTTCCTCCCGGGCCGCTGCAGGCTTTGCAACCATGCTCAGTTGGCCTGGGCTCAGCGCACGCCCGGCGCAAGGGGCAGCCACCTGCTCCCGGCGCACATCAGATGCTGCGGGGCCCTGGGCTCCCCTCCCCCGCTGCCTCCTGTTGCTGCGGGGCGGTGGCGCCCACAGCCGGCTGAAGCCTTTAACCTGAGAGTGGGGTCTCTCCCGGGACCTAAAGAGGGGCGGGAACTTTTAGGGGACGTACCCCCCCCCAGCCACCCCCCTTTCTTGTCTGATCTAAGAATATTTGGCCGTTATTCCCAGTTTCCCTTTCTTTGGTATTTCAAGTCAAGGATGTGAATTTGCAGAGGTGTTCTCTCTATTTTCAGGGGTGTTGGGGCTAGGACTTAAGTTATCCCTGCTGTCCATATTTCTAGGCTTTTATTCAGGATGACCAGCGGCTTGGAAATATATAGGCGAAGGCCAGGCACAGAAGGAACAGAGAAAGGAGCTCCCAGTTTGGACGTATCTGTGCGGGTGGGGTGGGGGGGAGTGGCCGAAAAGTTGCATTTTGTTTAAATTAGACCAAGACAAAGTTGAAAGCCAGATTTCTATAATTTTTCTGGTAATATTTCTTTTATGAAGTATTTAAGTGTCTGTTTGTCATCATTTTGAGATCAAAGGGAAAATCCATATGCTGCATAGTTTTTCGAAATTGCTATTTAAATATGTTTTAAATGTTTTCGCCAACATGGAAAAGGCTGCTCAGACGCAGACCGGTGACAGGGAGAGCAGGATGGTCTGCTGTGAAGCAGGATTCCCAGGACCTGGCTAATCCTCACGAATCGCCAGGGGAGCTTTTAAAAAATAACGCTTTCTGGGCCCACCCCAGTTAGGCCATCAGTGGAAGGACCGAGAATCCGGGGGTCATAGTGGGTTTCCCAATTACTGCTCAGCCGGAGACTGACTCCGTGACCTGAGGGGCATTATTTAATCTATCTGAGCCTCACGTCTTTTTATCTGTTAAGTGGGAATCATATCCAACTCATCGAGTTGTTGACTTTTACAGAAGGAAGATTGTTCAGCCCAGGATCGGTGCTCAGTACAAAATGGAACCTATTTTGTCTACATACGTGTGGCCCACACACTTGAGCGGGCCCTTCCCCCACATTTTGGTGAGGCTAATGAGCTGTCGTTCCATATGTACAAGCATGCGCATTTTCACTCGTGCCTCGTGGCTTCTTCGGGTCCTTTGCATGCTCACCTTCCCACCTCTTAGGCCACAAAATATAAATTAGCATTGGTGTGTGTTTGGAAGCCAGTCTTTGTGTCCTTGGCCCTAGAACTGTCCATCAGGCCCAGTGGCAGGCAGGAGGCATTTATCAATCTGAATCTTGCTGTCTTTCTTTCTTTTTTGGTCCTTTCCTCTGCTGTATAGATGGAAACCTTTTCATTAGAAGCTGCGCATCAGACCAATGAAACCACAGGACAAAACATTCTATTCAAGGAGGGAACATCAAGAAGGAAAAGAAGGTCAACATTCCTAGGTAAAAGTAAAAAAAAAAAAAAATCATATCATTTATCATTAAGTTTTCACATGTCTGAATGAACAGCTCCCCCTAATCTACATGCAGTAAAAGGCAACCCTTCATAAAAGTATGTTCAAGCCGATGACTACAAGCACACCCCGAGGTAATTAGGAGACAGCCCAGGCAGAGACAGCTGCGAGGAGGAGAAAGATAGGTGGGAAGGCGCCATCCCTGGCTGTGACCGCAGTAGTGTGAGGGAAGAAAGCCAGAGGAATGGAATGGGCTGAACCAGCAGTGAACAGATCAAGGCAGCTGACAGTTTCAGAACTGGAGAGGGCTGTGAGCGGCTAATTAAACATCCCAAGCAAGGTGTTTTGCTGGTACCCGAAGGCTCGTGATAAGTGATCCCGGTATATTGGTGGGGAGGGATAAGGAAGAAATTGCCAGGTTGGGGGTGTCCATGGCCCCAGCCCCTAATGAAGGGACTCACTCTCCCTGAATGGGGGGAAGCCCAATCATCCACCTAGATGCCTGTCCGCTGAGGGTTTGGGGGATATATTTAGGCAGGTGCGGAAGATTTCTGCTCTCTGGCTACTCTCCATGAGCTGGGGGTTGTCAGGGGAAGGGGGGCAGGGAATGTCTGTGACTCTAGACAACACAAGGACCTCAAGACAACTAGAGAGAGACACTCATCAGCAGTCAAGCTGTAGGGAGACAGGAATCAGCTTCTGGTTTCTTACTCCCAACCACCCTCAAGGTGAAAGGAGGTCTTTGGCCTCCACTTGTGCGGGGGTGGCAGAGGCTGAGAGGAGAAGCGTGCTGGGTGAGGGACAGAGTATGGGGGGGCAGGGCAGGCAGGGGAGCTTGTAGGTGCAGCGGTAGGAGGACTGAGTGGGATGGGAGTGTGTGAGGGGCGTGTAAGGTAGGGTATAAAACCAGAGCATAGACGAAGGGGTGGGGTGGGGGAGTGGGTGTTAGCAGAAGGTGAATGGGGTGAAGGGTAGTCCATAGCTGGGGGCAGCAAGGGAGCGGAGGTGGGGGAAAGGGAGGAGGTGGGAGTCAGTTTGACTGGGGGGAACATGTACCTGGGGGCTGGGGCAGGGGGTGCAGGAAAGTGGGGGTGAGCAAGGAATGCCAGTACTCCTGGGCTGGGAGGTGCTAGGCAGAGGTGTGGCGGGAGGCAAGGCCCACAAGAGGGAGGGAGGCTAGATTTAGCCTGCTCACCCAGGCTAGGGTGAGCTCAGACTCAGACTGGGCTGGGTGGGTGGGTAGGTGGTTAGCAGGGGTGGGTACTGCCTCCCTCCTGCCCTTACAGCCTCTCCCAGACTTTGAAGACACTGGCAAGCCCATGGATCCCAGGTTGGCAGGAAGGCTTGGGACCCCACCTCATGGCCACTGCCTGGCAGACGGGACGTGGGGTTCTCTCCTGGTGGGCTGGGGAGAGGGCCTCACTGTGCCTTCTGGGCTCCAGAGCTCCCCACTGCTCCCTTCTCCAACGGTGGGGCCCTGCATGTCCCTGCGTAGCCTCCCTGTGCAGTGTGTCCATTGCCAAACCCCCGAGCCTTGCACAGGCCACCAGTGCAGGCTTCCTCCATGTCCCCTCCATCCCCACCCTAGGCCATGTTGCTCCTTCACTCCTGAGGTCCCCCTGGCGCCTTTTCCCTTCCAGATAAGGTGCGTTCACCCTTTCATCTCCTCCCCATCTTCTGGTGGTGGTGCCTGGGAGGAGCGGGGAAAGGGCGGGAGGGTGTCCATGATGCAAAGTGTTTCAGAGAAGATGGAATCATTCTATTCAACAGATAGTTACTATTTGCGAGACTGCTAAACGTGGCAATGGGTGACCCTGTTGGAAGAGGAGAGTGGACCGGACGATTCTGGTTCTCAGCCAACCAACCCGGGTGGATGCTTATTATCTGTGTTTGATTCAGCTGGGTTTCCAAAACCTCAGTTCACAGCGCTAGTCTAGAAGAATCTGGATGAGGGACGGCAGTGTCAACACCTCCTCCCCTCTCAATATTCCAAAGTTGTCTGTTAGTGAGAATGGCGAAGGATAAGTGTGAGGGAAAAAAAAAAAAAAAAGCTTTTCCTCCCCCTTTCTGAGTTGTTGTAACTGGGCTGATAGTCAAACTAACAGAAGAAAATCCCATTTTTAATACATCAGCATGGGGAACTCATAGAAGCATGAGCACTTCAAAGACTGGGACAACACAGAGCATACAAGACGCTTCTGACGAAGGAGGAAGGGTTTCGGAAGTGAGGATGGGCAGATCGCAGAAAGTCGAAGAACACGCACGGCAGGCAAAGCCTGCACAGACGACTCAGAGACAGTGGCATACAGCGGGTGCCCAGGCCCGAAGCCCTCACATTTGCTCCGCTTGATTCAAATTAGGCTAAGGGAACAGTCTGAGATTTCCTTCCTGAAGCAGGTTTTTCTGTCTGAATGTCTTGAGCAGGAAAAGGGTCAAAAAGGAGGGTCAAAGCTTCTTTCTGCGTCTTTTGTGTCTTAATAACCAGCTTCAAATCGATACCCTAAAAGGCAGCTTCAAGGTGGCAAAACCCGGGTCCCCTTCATCATACTTGTAGCATTCACTGAGCATCTTCTTTGGCAGAACTGCGCCAGCTTTTTTATACCTGCCATTTCCATCTTCTTCATTCCATAATGCTCCAGATTCTAAGACCCATCATCAATTTCAAGGTGGCCATTGGGGGAAAAGGAGACTACAGTGACCTTAGTACACAAGGCATTGTAAGCCGTACTGATTTCAGGAACAGAATAAAATAGGAGGGAAAAACCCCTGAACCTTAAAAGTGAAGAAGTGGAGGATAAGGGTAGTTCTCGCAACAGCCCTGAGAAGAATCAGCCCCACTTTATGGATGGCTAGATGGACATTAGTTGGGGAAGCTGTCACCATGCGCCAAGGCTGCGAAGCCAGTGAGTGGCTGTTGGAACTGGAACCCAGGTTTTGCCTGCAGCCAGAGCCCATGAACCTCTGCAGACTCCAAGTTTTGTCAGTGTTTTCCCAGCCCCTGTTTGGTCCTCACCCTTCTACCCCAAACACTCCTTCTTCCCCTGCCCTCCAAGCAGTGAGACTTCCAGAAGGACTATGAAATTCACTTGGGGGGGGGGGGGAGGTACAAAATAGTCAAATTACCTTTTTTTTTTTCAGATTCAAATAAAGTCTTTAAACGGTAAAAACCATGCATACCAGGTTTTGCTGTGCACCGCAGGAAGCCCGTGAATTCAAGGGTCCCCGTATTGCTGAAAATAGAATTGTAAAAAATAAAAGGGGTGGGGGAGAAAGTGAAGGAAACTAATCCTATTAAACGTGGTAGCGTGTTTTTGTGGCTCGCAGGGAGAGATTAAGCACAGGAAAGGGGGTAAGTACTGCTTCAGTTTCACTAAACTAATGTGACAACTTGTCATTGGAAATCTTTGCAGCTTGTTAGTAGATGGCTAACTGATTCAGTGGAGTTCTCTATCATTCTCTTTGTGTCTCCCACGAGGTGTTTTTTTTTTTTTAATTTTCTTTCTTTTCCTGTTTCTTTCTTGCCGTGCTGCTCTCTTTTGCTTTCTAATCCTTCGTGTCTCCTTCAAGTCAAAACATTTAGCTGGCTCTAATCAAGATTTGGTTTTGAAGATGCCCCTTGACCTTGCATTGCCCAGAGAAGCTGGGGAGGGGCCAGTTTGCCATCCTTAACCCTGGGGTCTGTCCGGTGGCTTGAAAAATAAAGCTTCTGGGGAAACCAAAAACTCTGGTTTCAGATTTCATTTTTCCTCTTTTCACTTCCTTGTTTTATGCTCTTATTCTCTTCTTGCATTTCCTTGCCAAACCTCCGTGTCTTCTCTCCCCTCTTTCTTGTTTTTCCAATTTCCTTCTTTCTTGCTTTCCCACCACTTCCTCTTTCATCTCTTTCCTAGAATTTCTTTTTCCCTCTTTAACTCACTCCAATAATTCTTATTCTTTCTTTCCTTCATGGATAAACGTTACGGATCCCCCACGATGGTAGTTCTCCCATGGACTTTGCTCCTGGTGAAGGGGCCAGCGTGGTGGGGAGGGGGGCCAGGGTCTATGGTCCCAGACATGCAGGGAACCAAAGGCTGGTCAGAATCAGGAGGAAGCAAGAGCTTTAGGCTTGGTCCCTGTCTTTCCAAAGCAGGTGTCCGGCTTGTTTGGAAATGTGGCTGACTCTGCCTCTCTTTTGCCTTGGCATCACTTTCTCCTGCTGTCCTCTGCCCTCCCCCGCTCCAACTTTCCCCACTGGCTTACCACCAGAGGCCGAGATGTTGAGTCAATGGAAAAACAACATTCGCCAACATTAAAGGGAGAGTGTTTAGAAAAGGAAGGCCCTGCTGAGGTGCAGAGGAAGCCTGTACATTAACACAGGCCACCTCTTATCTGGGGCAGCTGGGCCTGAGCTGCCTGTGCTGATTCCCTGGCTTTGCCAAGAGGCCTTCAGCAGAGGAGCCGCCTGGCGGGGTGGGGGGGCTGATGCTTACCCATCGGCTTCACCAGCACTTCCAGAGACAAAAGTCATCGCTCCCCCCCCCCCCCCAGACTTCATGGGAAAACCTGGACCAATAAGCAAAGTTCTGCAAAGGAAAATACCCCTCTAGGCCTGCTGTGGACACCACTCACCATGAACCTGGCTCCTCTCATTGCCAGTCTTTTTGAGGACTTCCAAGTTCTGTAAGGACTGGCCATTCTGACCTGAAAGTAAATTAGGAAGAAGGACAAGCTAAAGTGACCCAAAGGAGAAGAAGAAAAATGCCTGTGGCTAAGTTCACCCTGGCTCTAAATGGCTTACCGTTAAGTTTCAAGCCAGCTCTTGATGGAAAGATAAGGTAAATCCCTAATCAGTCAATAATTAACCGCAGCACCATTAATGGCCCAGTCAACCGAATCCCGCTGACACCTTCAAGAACCCTGCTCTATTGGGAGGGTTAGGTCCAACCTTTTGCTAGAAATGTCTCCTTAGCTGGCTTGTAGACCCCATTCGCAGGTCACCATAAAAGGGGTAAAGTTATTCCTGTGCCTGCCACTGCAACCTTTTCTTATGTTAACTCCTTTGAATAACTTCTGGAAAAATGCTCCCCCTCCCTCTCTCTCATGTATAGAACAGCGTGAAGGTCCCCTCTGGTTCTAGGTCAGTTTGAATCACACCCCAGTTGTGTTCTGATCGTTACTGCTTTATTCTCGCTGGAGGACCATGTTTTCTCTCCTGCCTTGCTCTGCTTACTTTGTGGTCTGTTGCTAGTGTCCGTAGATAGAGATTCCTATTCCTTGATTCTCAGTGTAAGCTTCTCTTCAATGTGAGATCAAAGGAGAAATACATTTTAAGTGATAAGCAATCACAGCTCTCCCAAAGCATGAATGTGATTTTGAATTTTAAATAACTAAAAAATTAAAAGATTCTTAATATTTGATTCTGATACTTCCTTCCAGTTGATCGGGTTCTTTTTACATTGTACAAAAGCAAATATTTTAGGAAAGGGGCATTTAGGTAGGTCTTAATTTTTTTTAATTAAAATTCTTTTGCTTTGCTCTGTATAAGATTTAGTGTATTACTGTATGCTTGTAGTTATACTATAACTATATACTATTTAGTATAGTTATACTTTAGTTATACTATAGTATAGTATAGTATACTTATAGTATAGTTATACTATAACTACAGTAATATGCTTGTAGTTATACTTGTAGATGAGAAAAATCAGTGCATATTAAGTGTGGTTTGAGTTTTTTCTAAGGTCAAGTTGTAGATCATGACCATATGCCAATCCGTGAACTTTCTTCCTCCTTTTATCTGTTCAAGCCACTTGAAAAATGTGTTCGTTTAGATCCAAGGGGAATGAGGTGTGAGAGTGTGGCTTGATACGCCTCCACCTCCACCGCAGGGCAAAACCAACAGAAGTTGCAGGTTTGGCTACTAGGGTATCAGTGGCATTATTTCTCCACCTTGAAGACGGTTCATCCAGTTACACTTCTGTTGGGTCCCCGGCTCAGCCTCTGTAATCACCAACACGTTCCTCTCCTCTCCTTGTAGAAGTCAGTAGTCTGGGTGCTCAGTTCATCTTCGGCTGTTTGGGGGAGTTGCCAATGAGAGGGAATTCCGCCAACGATCTGTGATACCCTTTTCAACAAATACAAATTGAGTGGCATTTCTTTTGTTCCCAAATCACCTATCTGTCCCTTCTTATGCGACTTTTGAGTTTCAGAAAGGTAGGAGGCCGGCTTTCTTTCCATCACATATTTGACCTAAAAAGGCAATCCATGAGCCACAGAGTACAATCTACTGCAGCCTTGTAAATAGGCTGAAAGATTCACGGGCCCGAAGCAACATGTTAAATATAAAACCAGTTAAATTCAGCCTGTTCTTTCTTTTCGCCCATGAAAACATCTTTCTTTTTTGAAAGCAGTTGATAGATGGCTAGATTCAATGTTGTTATGGTTGTTTTGGGGTCCAAGTAAAAATGGGAAAAGTAATGGAGAGACAGTGAGAAATTTTTTTTAATTAGTTGTTATTAAATTTGTAGGTATGTACATTTTGGGTCTAGTACTCTTACTTTTCGTACTACTCTTTGATTGTTTTAAAATATTGAAAAGTATGTCACTTGTGAGAGTGCCATGAAGTGAAGCAAAGGACGTACAAGGAATTGTGGTCTTGTGGCTTAGATGTTAAAATAAGGTTTAAAAAATGGAACTGGAATCTATAGGTGGAAAGTCATTTCTAATTATACTAGTAAATTTTGAGTATCACACTCAGGCTAGGAAACCTTGACATTGGCACATTTACTTACATTCACTAGGAAAAAATGTTTACCCCCTCGGGAATTTCTTAACGAAAAGAAAAAATCAATCTCCATCAATGAGCAATATTTTTCTCTCCAAGGGATATTGATTTGAACATTGACTTCACAATGGGTGAGTTATTGCCCTCAGACCCCCTGGTAGGAATTGTTAGGTGACATGTCTTTCACGAGCCAATAAACATGTTGTTTTTAGTGTAGTAATCCTGTCGGAAAGATTCTAACTCCTGAATTGGGGCCGCTTTGGCCTGTTTGAGCTTTTGTACTTTTGTGTTAAATTTTTCTATGGGATGTATTCCAAGTTTAAAAAGCATTCTCTCTCATCGTTCTACCTTTTTAGATGAGGTATGGCTTTTCCATGCTTCCGAGGGACGGTGGGGAGCAGTGAGTAATTCCCTTTGCTGCCCGCTCCTTAACCGCATGTGCTCAGCTCAGCCTGTGCTCGGGCCCGTGAGTCATGCGCCGTCATGCAAAGGTCTTCATGTTCCCCCTGCATGCGGTCGTACAACATCAGCATCTCTAATTTTGAAAATGGACCAGGTTTTGAATTCGCCAGAGCAACCACTCTGTAAAGGTCCATTGTGGTGGGTGGAGATGAAGGACAAGGTAGGGGATGTAGAATCTTGTTACACAGACGATCCTTCTTCAGTTTATCAGTCATCTCTTGGGATTTGTGTATAATGGGTTTTTTTAAGGGCACGTTTAGAGTTTATATGCGATTGCCTTGGGCTTATTCATCCATTCATTTACATCTCTACCACTGTGCTCTGCACTGGTGATACCAAGATAAACAAGACCCATCTGAGGCCCTCACAGGATGGTTGGGAAGACATTAGGTAGGATAGTGATGAGCATCCTACGTCGACACAAAATACTTAGCATCTCTGAGGCTTACCTTTGTGGCAATTTAGAGTATCGAGGGAAGAGGTGAGCCTAAGCGAGTAATGAGTCAGACTCTGGGCTTAGGAGCAGGGGGGAAGCGAGTTCATGTCCCCCCATTGCGCGGTGAGAGAAATCTTCAGTAAGTCATTGTACCTCTGGGAGCCTTAGTTTCCTTGTCCGCAAATTGGGGATTGTAGCAACACCTTATGGGATTGTCGTGAAGCTTAACTGAGAATGCATAAAAAGACCTCCGCACTGAGCCTGGCACGAAATAAGCGCTCAGTAAGTGTTTGCTAGGAAGGGGTAACACTCTCTAACATTATATTTATCGGGCCCCTACCACGTGGGCAGACCAGCAGTTTGTCAGGAGTCTCCATGGGAGTACAGGGGATGGAATGACAGGCAGCTCGTGCAGGCCCGGAGGGGACACACCGCCTCTGTGGGAGTCTGAGGTGGCCTCTTACTGTTGGAGTCCAAAGCACCTGGGAAGACCTGGTGGTGGAAGGGGCAGCAAAATTTGTCGTGACAGGGAAGGAAGAGCCTAGTATGGTAGCGATGGCCTCAAAGGAAGAGAGGGGCAGGCAACATGTTCACCGATGTTTTCTGAGGTCCCTCTAGCTTTTCCATGCGTGCACTTTGTCTGTCCGTGGCTAGATTCTATCCTCCTTATTTTCTTTGGGGACCAAGACTCCCACCTTTGTGCTGCAGCCACCCTCCTCATGGTGCCTCTTGTGATGTGGTACCTCTGCTAATTGCTCAGCAATGGGGCTAAGTCTTCACGCGTCCCTCTTCTGTCCAGGCTGGAATATTCCGCCCATTTCTTATGCCCAGTTGATGTCAGCGTGCTCAGATTAAAATGCTTGCTTTGTGTTGATTAGACAGATTCATGATTTGGGAATTGTGATCATGTTACTGCTGAAAACTCTTTGTTTTGCTCCTAGGATAAAGTCCAACATCCTGAACGTGCCCTACAAGATTTTGCATAATCTGGCCCCTGTCCACAGCTCCGGCCTCATCTCTTGAAACTCCTCATTCTCCCCATGTCTCCGTGGCACTGGACTTCCTGTCTCTGTGACTTCAGTACCACAAGCACCCGTAGACACCTGCACCTGTCTTTGAGAGATCTCCCAACTCCTTCTCAACAAACCCTTCTCTCTATCGAGACTCCAACTTTAGTGTCTTTTGCTCAGGAAAGGCCTCCCTCACCTGGTGGGTTAGAAACTCTCACGATACCTGCTCATAACACCTATAGTTTTTCTTTATTCTGCTTCTCAGAATTGAGATGAGTAAGTCATTTGAAGGTAAGCCTTGTTCATTGAACACGTATTCTTTGAATCCTCCATGTGGCCTAGGGGTCACGGATACCACACCGCGGTACAGCCCGAGTCCCTGCCCACGGCGCCTGCAATTTAGTAAGTGAGGCAATGGACAAGAAACAAATAAGATAGGATGCCATGTCAGCTCATGATAAACATTCTGAAAAGAAGTTAAGCTGGGTAAGGGGACAGAGGAGACTGACGAGAAGTTGGGGATACTAAGAGGGAACGGCTGTGGTTGTCTTGTTCAGTGTAGCATTCCCAATACCCAGCACCATGCCGGAATCCAGAAAGGACCTGACAAACACCGGCTGAATGAGAAACACACTGGTTCAGATAAACCCCAAAGAGCAAAGGGTCGTAAAGAGCGCTGAGGACTTGTATAGTTTTGCTTGTTTCTCCCAAGGTCCCCGACTGCACCTTGGACAATGCAGGCTGTGTGCTCGCTTCACAGCCGGCATGAATTCACAGCAAACTTAATTTCCTGTTAAAGTCCATTACGGTCGCACCTTGTGTGGGGTAGCATTGCATACTTTCTTCTTAATTGCCACGGGCAAAGCAGCAACTGGTTGGTGAATGAAATATTTATGCTCCGAAGTATTGGTGTTCTAATCAGTTTCTATTTATACCGATGATCAAGTCTTTCTCAGCGAGGAGGAGGAGGAGGAGGATTTTTTTTTTCCCCGGGATCTCTGTGCTTCTAAATGACTAATGAAGGCAATCTGGCCCTGGCAGATTTTGCCACGACTTGGACAGACGTAGTTCTCGTGATGCTGTTGTGTTCCTTCTCGGCTTGCTGGCTCCCTTGTTCCCACGGCGGTGATCTCATTATTGGCATTTTGTTTTCAAACGGTCATCTTCCCCATTTTTCTGGGGGGAAATCCGTGCCTTTGTGCGGCTTAAGTCTGAGCCTTGTCTCCTTAAAGGATATTTTGAAGAGTACACATCTCCCGTTAGCTTACTTTTGTTTTTATTTTGGTGGAACAGAAGGAAAGGGGAATTCATGATTTCATCATTTTCTTCTTTAGTTTGAATGAGAGAACTGGACTTTGGGGGTCAGTTTGAATTGAGATCCAGACAAATTATTGGGTCTATTCTCGAGAGCTGGATTAAAAAAAAAAAAAAAAAAAAAAGAACAGCCCTGGCTGGCGTAGCTCAGTGGATTGAGCACAGGCCTGTGAACCAAAGGGTGGCCGATTCAATTCCCAGTCCAGGGCACATGCCTGGGTTTCAGGCCAGGTCTCCAGTAGGGGGTGGCATGTGAGAAACAACCACACATTGATATTTCTCTTCCTCTCTTTCTCCTTCCCCTCCCCTCTCTCTGAAAAAAAAAAAAAAAAAAAAAAAGAACAGCATGAAGGAGATGAGCGATAGGAGTGGCTCCTTCCTTGTGCCCAGAGCACCACTGTGTGTGCAGTTACTGGGCCTGGCTTCTCCCCGGGGCCTCGCCCCTGCCCTGGGGCCTTTTCTTGTTCTGCACCAGGAGGGGACTTCGTGGCTGGGTTTGTACCACTCTTTGGATAGGAACACCAATCCAAGTCTGTACTGCAAGTTCATGTTGGCTCTAATCCAATCGGTTTTAGTGGTCCCACCCCTCTCTCTCTCTGGGCATCACTCTCTTTATCTGCACCACCAGATCCCGGACTCCCCAACAGAAAATCACATATTTTCTATCTGCCATTAACCAGCCCTCCCTTCTCCCCTCCCAGTGCATAACAATGAGGTCTCCAAATAGTCACGATTCTCAGCATGTGAAGAAAAAGGTTGGAGACAAATGGAATATATCCCTATCTCCTCACTGCTTCCATCTCACCAATTTATATATTTTCATTTTTAGTTTTACGCACTGACACGAAGCCTCATAAAGTCTGGGAAATGCCTGCTTTGTTGACCAAGGTTGGCCAGAGTAAACATGGCTAATGAATCTTTGTGGAATATGGGAGTGAATGAATGTAAAGGAGGAGGAGCCTATTCACAGGGGATTTCCACTCACTGTAAAGAAGTGAAATGAAAGCAAACTTTGGTGGTTTTTGTTTTGAGCTGCGGGCCGATTGATATGGACTGAGCCATTCAATGCACTGCATTCATCAATTTTTGTCCCTGGGGTACAGTCATGAGACTAAGACCCAGAATTCTTGGTCCCACCCCATTTGTGGCATTAAAACACACACACACACACACACACACACACACACCCTTGGCGTGTTTCTCCAACCAGGTTTTTTTTTTTCTTTGTCTGAAAGAGGCTCAGCTGGACACTGGATTCCTCACCCAGTGCCACGATCAAAAATTCAGTAAACCTCAGCTTCCTGAGATGATGTCACAAAACCCTTAAGAATGCTCACTGCTGAGTTGGGCACGGATCCAGCAAACACAATTCTTTCTGCCAGTTATTTGGGGTCCTTGACAGGTTAGGTGGTCTTTTTTTCTTTTTCTTTTTCTTTCCTTTTTTTTTTTTCATCCTCTTAAAAGGCAGTTCAGTTTACCTCTAAGCAAGACATTAGCTCTGGCTGCCCCAAATACCATTTTAATTGAAGTCTCAGTCCAAACAAATGGCCAGCCTCTTTATTAACCCCAACAGTGTAATTTTTCAGCCTCAGACCAATTCAGGGGGAAACTGTCTCACTTAAACCACCATGCAACGGAACACGACAGTTTTCCTCAATCAGTCTCTTTTCTGACCTTAATTTGAACCTTAATCTCTTCTAACCATGTTCTCTTTATTAGCTCTCATAGCCATGGCACAATACTAATTTTCCTGTTTTCAGCCTCTCAGCTTACAAAGGTATTTCGCTCCCCCTTCTGTCCCCAAAGGTAACCAGGATTTCGTGGACCTTTGGGAAACAGAAGGGAATACTTACTCTTAACATTTTTTAGGTTCAGTCATTTAAGTGGCTGCTTTGCAAAATGTTCTGTAGACTCTCAAAGTGTGTATTTCTGAAGTACGTTAAAGTTTAGGAACAAAAAAATACACTTAACTATCATAAAAACCTAAAAAGCCCTTTAAATGATTATAAAATATTTTCATCAATACACAGGTCCACATTAATAAAATTAAGTAGAAACTAAGGCTATTCTCTTGATAATGCAGGCAAAAACAATGTGGTTTTTTAAAATAATTTTTAATTTAATTATTGTTCAAGTACAGTTTTCTGTCTTTTACTCCCATCCCAGCCCACCCACTCCAGAAAAACAATGCATTTTATTAGAAACCTCTCATCTTTGGGGAGAGACCTGAGTGACCAGATAATTGCTTCAATTCCTTTCTTCATTTTTATGCTTAGATATAGTCAATGAGCAATGACAGAGAAAATCATTTTTTCATAATGACACCTTTCCATTTTTTGACATTGGTAAAATGATCCAAATTAGGAAGAAAAAAAGCACCCTTTCAATAACAATGAAAAACAAACCCATGTTTCTCTGTTTGGAGTCTACCTTAATATAGCAGGACTATGTAGGTAGAAAACCAGTGCTTATGATCATGCGCTCAACTGGATTTATTATAGGTTTTTGCACTTTCTGGCATTAGCATGAAAGCATATTGGTCATTATTCTTTATAATCTAATTGGGGGCTTTGTGTCTAGTTACCCCTGTGTTCTCCACTTAATACAATAGTTTGTTGATTGCAAAAAATTACATTTCTGTGACTTTAAAGTCCTAGAACGAGGATTGCCATTGAAGGCTGTGGATTCAGCCTCGTGTTTAGAAGACAGGGACCATGTGCCTTCTGGGTGAGAGGAGGCAGGCAGCTGGGAACAATCGTCTGTCCCCTGCAGTGTGCGGTGGCATTCGCAGCGGGCTGGCACGATAAACTTTGCCTTCATTTAACTGGCTCACACAATTAGTGGGATTGAATCAGAGTTCTCCTGGATCATAGTTTATTATATGTTATTAAATTCCATTATTCAAGGAGTGGCTGCTGTGATTGTAAAACTTCCCGGCATTTCCCACCAAGCTCCCAGCTCCATTCTTGAGTATTTTCTTTTATGTTTATCTTGTGCGTCTCTGATAGACAAGGTTACCTTTTTCTTTTCTTTTCCCTTGGTAGTTATTTAAAGAGCTAAGAGCTAATTTGAAAATACGTCTTAGAAAGGACAACAAAAATGAGATGTGAAAAAAAATGGATGACGATTCTTAATTAGTCCATTATTTGACACGCACGATTTAACATGGTATGCTTAGCATTGTGCATTCCCGAAAAGAACAAGGCTCTTTTTTTTTTTTGTATTCCAAACTTTAACTCCCTCTCATTCATTATAACCCTCCTTGTCACTTTCCATTAGCTGATTGTGACATCCTTTGCTGGAAGGGCGAGCAGGCAGATTACTTCCAAACTGGTGTAAGTGACACTCAAAAGAATGCCCAAAAGGGAGTTCTGTGATAGCGAGGAGCTCCTCAGCCCCTGGAGTCGCAGAATGTCATTTCAATAGTACGTCAGAGTCCATTGTCACATCATTTTTGTAGTAGGTTGTTAACTTCCCAGAAGTGGCAGGAATGGGTTTTCTGCTGAAACTTACATCTTATAGCATCTAATGTTGTCACGGTTTCTGATAATAGTAATAATAATAATAATAATAATAATAGTAATAATATAATTTATTGTGCCTGCCCAATCCTTCTAACCAGTGTCTTGAGTTTTACAGTTGAGGAAACTGAGAACCAAAGAAGTTAAATAAATTGTCCTTTGGTCACAAAGCTGATAAGGTCCCCTCTGCTGAGCTAGGGTTTTAACTGAGGTCTGGGAGACTTTCCATTGCGGCAGGCTACAATGCTGCACTGACTTCTAGGAAACGTCAGCCATGTCTCTCTAAATTGAAAGGGTAAAGAAATGATCAAAAAAGTATTTATTTTAATGCAACTGAAAAATACCATCACTAGGCACTTCTAAGTGGAGGTGGGAGGTGACCGAATGAGTCAGCCAGGGCTCCAACGCACGTGGATAGATTGGGCTAAAACGTGGAGAAACTGATGCTCGGATCGGATCGGCCCGGAAGATGCAAACTGTCCCCTAGACCGTCATCCCTGTCCCCCACAATCCCTCCCCTACTCCCAAAGGTCCAGCCTTGGGAATCATCCTCTCGGCCTTGGAAGGGTGTTGTCCTGGGAAGAGCTGAATGGTTGCAAATAAAAAATATATCCTGATCAGGCACAGGCAGGACCCTGATGTGAACAGAGCCAGGATTAACCCTGGCTGTCCCTCCGACCCTCGGACCAGCTTTTGACCTTGTAGCATCTTCTCCTGAGAAAACCAAATTTTCTTCATCGATCAAATTTCAGCTTCTTTCCTTCATTAAGCAAGTTTTAGCTTCTTTTCTTAGTTACCCTGGAAACATTTTGATTGTAAAATAGAGAATAGGGAAATACAGAGCAATACATTAAGTACAAGTCACCTGTCATTCCACCATCAGAGGACAATGGGTAGTCTCGTGGCATGTATCTTTCTAGCCTAGGCTGTATGGAAGTCAGTAAAACCTGCTGGGATAGACTCTGAAAATCAAACTACCCTTCTTTCAATCTAGACACTGCTACCAGCATGACACCTAGCCTCTCTGGACCCCCCTGTGTGATTTGTAAAGTACCTCCTGCATAGAGTTGTGACAGTGACCCAGTGCGTGTCAGGGAGCCGGCCCACGGGATTCACTTACTGCATCTAGTTGCTGTTGCCTGTGTGTCGGCCCAGTGCTCTTGTCTGACTTGCGTTCTGCCCATGCTCCAGCCTCCGTGACTCCAAGCCCATAGGTAAGTTCATCCTCCACTGCGATTCTGTCCCTTCTAGTCTATTTGCTTTGACCAGCCTCCCCCTCACACCCCATCAGTGATTGTCTAGGTCTCAAATTCTGTCCATGTCACCACAACTCTAACATCACCATTGCCAGAGTCTTATTTCTACTTCTGTTTGCAGGACACATTTCTACCTGGACGCCCCCCTCCCCCTGTCCAGCACCGCAGCAAAGCCGGAGTGGCCCTTCTCATTTTCATTGCTCTTGACCTCCCTGAAGGGAGACACCGTCAGGAGTCTAGGACCCTAAAGACAATAGCAGCATCAACCCGCAAATCTGGGGCTTTCAGTTCCCGACATACAGGGTGGGCAAAAATATGTTTAAAGGTGTTTATGTGGAAAATAAGAAGTAATTAATGAAACATAATATAAGAGTAAAGTGTGTTTTGCATAGTCACAACTGTAAACCTACTTTTGCCCACCCCACTGTATACTCAACACAGGGCAAGTGTATTTGTTTAAAACATTTTAAATGTAAAAAAGGATTTTTAAATTATCTTAATAAAATTCCTCTGTCTTTTCTCAGTGATCTCTGCACCATATAAATTATCTATATCTATATCTATATCTATATCTATATCTATATCTATATCTATATGTATAGATATATATATCTCTGACAGAATGCATGGAATGAGAAAGTGGATGGCCAGGGACAGGAATTGGGGAGGAGGATTATATTTAATGAATCTGGGAGTTCACGTGGACCTTTCAGACTTAAAAAATATGTTGATTTTACATGCCAAAATCTTGAAAGGGGCTTGACGGCTCACAGCTTTGGTGTATTTTTCCAGATGGCAGATGCCATTTTGTGTTTTGCATAAACTGACTAAATTTGCTTGCTCTTTGTACTTATTTCAGAGGCAACCATTCTTTGCTTTCAATGGGACAGAAGAGCTCCTTGGCACTGGAAGCCTCCTGGTCTGGTGAGGGAGGCAGGAGGGACTGTTCTGGGGACATGCGGGCATCGTCAACACTCAGACTGAGGAAAGAGCTGGGGCCTTGGCCTTGGATTATCATTATCTAAGGATGGTCAGACTGTGAGCAGATCACAGAAGGTAAGCCACGCTGAAGAACTGCCCGGAGACACCTTTCCAGTGTGCCCATTCTTATCTCCGCGGAGGACCGACAGATTCATCGTGTTCTCATTTCAGCCTGTCTGTGTTCTGCCAATTGCTAGCTGTGTGATCCTGAAAGTCAATCCCTCTGTGCTCCAGTTTCTAAAAAAATAATAAAAGAAAAAGGATGATAATAATAACACTTATCTCTTGTTGTGATGGTTCCTTGGATTATAAATCCATGTGAGGGATTTAGAACAGTGCCTGGCATATAATAAGTGTTCAAAAAATGTTGGTAATTATTATGGTGGTTGTGACTAATTTCCACGGGAATTTACATGCTTTTCTTATTTTCTGCTGACTGACCCTGTTGTACTCCCAACTTCATTACGATAACTCTTTGGGTAGTTTTTCTGGAAACAGACTGGTGACGATGTGGTTAAGTGACAGGTTTTGCAGTCAGACAGAGTCAAGTTGAAGTTCTTAAAGGAACATTCAATAGATATGCCTCCTGAAGAAGTGACTTAACTTCTCCCAGCTTCAATCTCTTTATCTACAGAGTAGGGATGATAATGATGATACCTGCATTTCTGAGAGGATTAAATGAGGCGCTGCTTGCCCAGTGTCTGGTGAATGCATAAAACCTCTTGTGTTGTGTGCGGTTATTATTTTTGCTCTTACCCTCACAGGTGTCTTTAGAAACTGGACAAGGCTCTGGGGCTCTGGCTTCATATCAGCTCCCCCCCACCCCCCCACCCCCCCCAGAAACGAAGGCAAACACAGAAATAGAAAGATGCTGTGAGGCCATGATTTCACGGGGACTCTTTAACAAATAATGACACAAAAGTGACAGTGTTGAGTCTTGGTCAACATGGGTTTCAATTCAAGTGAGAAAATTCACATTTCTGAGTAGGCCAATCCCAGTTCGTGACCCTGGGGATTATTCCAAAGGACAGGAACTACTGGGATAGGAACGAAAGCCCATTCTTTTGTTCTAAAGGGCCCAAATGAAGTTCTGAGTGGGGTAGGTTCTGGAGGAGAAATGCCTGCTCATGCCGGCTACCTCTCATGGAGGAGTGTGGCCTGAGCACATTACAGAACGTTCCAGTTTCACATTTTCAAAAATGTATATTTATTCCCTCAAACTGAAAATGTGTGGAAGTGGCAGCTTCTGTGACCGAAAGAAAAGCCCCTAAACACTGTGGTTCTGTTATCGGACAGTTGAAAACGGTCTGAATCACCTTTTCCTGCCTCATCAAGCGGTGACGACTACGACTGGTCTCTATCAATGCATCACTGTCCTCGGTTAACAAGTGAATAAAGAGAAAACAACTGAATACTTGAAACTTTTTCCCCAAAGCCAGCAGGGAACCTAAAACAAGGAAGAACACGGAACAAGGAAGGGTATTGTACAAAGCACCCACAACCTTGCACCTATTTTGTTTGCCCTCTTCGATTTGTCTTAACCTCCCCCTTGCCCTGCCTATTACTTGTAAAGGAAGAATCCGATGGGATTTGATTTGGAAGGAAAAGGCACAGAAGTGGCTTCTTTTTCAAATCTGACAAGATGACAGCCCATCTTTTCCTCTTGACCTTGTGCTTAGAAATGGCTCAGAGAGTAGAATGCTGCAATTAGTGATCATTAACAGTGAAGTAAGAGAGGAAAGTTAAGATCAAATAAGAGACAAAAGAGAGAAAGTACAGGTCAAAGGAAAGAGGAAGAGGAGTTGGAAAGAATGGGAGGAAGCTGTTATTCAAGAGGAGGAAAGAGTATAAGCCCATACCAACCAACCAAATAAAAAAATCCCCCAAACCTTTATAGTATTGTGACAGAGATGGCCATCTGACCAGCAAAGATTTATCTTCCACTTCCACAGTATAGTCTTGTTTGGGGCAAGCAATTGCTCAGCCAGAGACCACATTTCCCAGGCTCCCTTGCAGTGATGTTGGACTGTGTGACTAGTTTTTATCAGTAGAATATGGGCTGCATTGAAAAGAGATGTATTGCTACAGTTTTCTGTTAACATTGTGTCTAGTTTCTCTCTCCTCCCTACTCCCCTTCCCCACACCTTGCCCTCTCTCTCCATCCTCTGGCTAGACAACTTTGATGCCACCCATGTCTAGAAGATGTAGAGTCATTCATCATCTGCAAGGAATCTGGATCCCTGAATGACTTTTGAAGGAGTCGAGCCCAGGCCAGCTGCCCAACCAAGAATATCCACATTAGACTTTTTGTGAGTGAGAAGTAAATGTTGGTAGGTTAAGCCACTAAACTTTGGGGAGATTGCTCATTATATCAGCAAGCATTACTTACCTTGATGAATATAGGAATTGATACCAGAAGGGTGCTCATTTTCTTTTCATCTTTGTTTAAGAACCAGTTAATTGTTTCCTGATATTCTATTTTTCTTGTATTGTGTTGTGAAAAGCAGCCAATAACAACCGACACATGCTCTTTTTCACCTACAAGCCCAAGAGTCATGTGGTCTCACTTTCAAGTTTCTAAAGACATCAGTTTTGCCCAGTGTTTTTCCACTGCCCGATACGGATCTCCAGCCGCCCAGCCTAATATATCTGCTTCCAGCAGCCTGGCTACAAAGGCGATGCCCCATATTTTAGGGTTTTGTTATAGGACACCACATCTGGCCCCAAATACAATAGTCCAGTTTGGTCTGAGAAATGGAAGCCTCTCATGGCAGACACAAGGTAATGTGTTCACCCAACTATTTCTTCTTTCTGGGTAAAGGGGAAGACTGTAGTCCCCTCTCCCTTGCAATGTAACTGAGGCCACAGGAACAATTTTTTTAAATCTTCACCTGAGGACATGTTTTCATTGATTTGAAGGAGAGAGAAAAAAAAAACAGAGAGAAAGAAAGAAACATTGATTGGTTGCCTACCTTGCGTGCCCAACGCAAGGGACTGAATTTGCAACCTAGGTACGTGCCCTGACTGGGAGCCGACAACCTTTCATGGAACGATGCTCAAACAACTGAGCCACGTGGCCAGGCAACACCAGTTCTTTAATGGGATGTAAGCAAGCAGGAGTATTGTGCCAACTTTGGACCAGGGAATTAAAAATGCCTGTGTTTTCTCTATGTTGTCTCCTCCTCTTCCCCAGGGATCTTGGGTGACATGTACTGAGACAGTGTGGCTACAAGACAGAAGCCACTCAGCCTACATCCTGAACAAGAAATAACCTGTACCTTGTTATGCTGAAATATGCCTGTCCCATTCTGATATATATATATATTAGGTGTATTTCCGTGATGAAGGAACTCCATGTGAGGAATTAGAGGTTCATAGAACCACTGGGAGAGCCAGGGAGAACTGGTCAGGGAGGCTGTTAGTAACTTTCAGGAAATCTGAAGTGAAGGAATCACCAGGAAGCCAAGTTGCCATTGACAATCTCAGCTGCTTGCAGCACCGAAGCTGGTGACTCTCAGGAGGACGCTCAGAAGCAAACACCTAGCCCCAAGTCTGCTGTCTGCCAGTGGCCACACACCTGCTTGTAGCTCCAGATAAAATCGCCTTTGCCTTCCACCTTCCAAGGATTGTGCCTCTCAATGGCAGATGATACCAAGAGCCCTGCTGGCAAGGGGGCCTGGGAAATGTAGTTTCCAGTCTCTCAGACCTGTAGTGCAGAAAGGAACTTAGGACAAAGATGCTACTTATTGAGTCTCAACAAAAAATGTCTGGCACATGTGTTTCTTGCCCATCCCTTAGGAAATTCAAGTGGTCATTCCTTCATAACCCATTTTCTCTTGAAAGCTTTTTGAGAGGAGAGGTTAATCAGTCCTCTATCCCCAGTGCCAGACCGTACAGCAAATTGTGCTGAACTGATCTGAATGGGATGATAGCAGAGTCCATAGCAAATAAGAAAGTTGTCCTCATGTGTTTAAGTCAGATTGCAAGGACTCCTGTCCATAGAATCTGATGATTCTCCCTAATGACTACCCTAGATTCTGCCCTTGCTTAAGACATTTTCTGGCCTTGCCTGCTCAGAGTGGCCATGAGGAGCTGCTTACTCAACCAGTGACCTTAAGCTTGAGCTCTGGGTCCTGTCTGCACAGCTGGAAGAAGGAGGATTCGACAGTAGTTTAGTTCATTGGATTCATGGAGGCAGAGAATCATGTATTTTTTTTGTTTTAGACAGAAGTCTCAAGTTGGCTCTGGAATTACAAAGTATTTCTGTATTTCGTCCACTTGGCTTTGAACACTACCTTTGTGCTCTGGCAGAGTTGGGACCTCTTTGAGAATTTGAGGTTTATGAGTTCACGATGGGGCAGGTTTTAGAGTATCTCGGTGAAGAGAGCAGGGGGTGGGTGGGTTTGAACATTAGGAAGGACCTGTTCAGCCGTAAGGAAAGGGAGGACCAGACCCCAGTGTGATTTCATCTGGAAAGGTGCAAAATTACAGTTCCGTGGAAGATTAAAGACACCCTCTTGAATATTTACTTTCCTCACCAAACAAGGGTAAACCTATTGTGCCCACGGTAAAAATAATGATAGAATGACTCTGACTTATTTACAACCATTAGAGAAATGAAAGATAAGGATCAGGCCACTAATTAATCTTTGTGTCACTATGAGGTGGCCACTGCATCCAGCTGAAGAGTGCCGTGTGCACAATAGCACAGTCCTGGGAGACATAGTGAGGTAGCAGCTGCTGGTGCCCAGCATCTAGCCTCTCTTTTCCATTCCCACCCACCCCGATCTCAGGCTATTTTTAGTTGTTTTACACAGTGTGCCTGTATGAAAATCTTTTTTTTACAAAACTAAAAGAATAGAAGAGTTAGAGTCTTCACAGAAAAATCATGCTCCAAAAGGCCTATTTCCCTGGGTTACTCATGTTCCTTGTTAGCTAATTGTTTTTCTCTTACTTTGCACCTAGACTCATGGCTGAAACACAATCATGAGTTTACTTTGTATAAAGGGAAGCAGGGCATTGAGCAATCATTTAATGAATACAGTCAAGATGGTTAGTGAATCTGGAAAATTCCACTCTCAAAAAAATGACTTTCTCTACTCTGTGGCAGATTTCCTCTTGGCCTTAATTATCCGCAGGGTTGTCCAATTTTCTGATGATATTTGTGCTGTTGACATCACCTTAATAATTTATTTAATGGATTTCACTGGGGATTTTTTAGGAACCCTTTATTCTACGTGGTTTCTTTTATCAATTAACA